GGGAAGACTCCTGCACAGCTCAGCTGAGAAATCAAGACCTGCCTCTCCCCTACTGGGCCTCTGTCTGCCCTCATAACTGTTCCTTTGGAGCTGCTGTTTCTTATTCCCCATGTAAAAGCCAAAGTCAGGTGGGAAATAACAAAACAGGCAGTAAAATAAAATAAGCTGAAAGATTACTCAATAAAAAGAAGCAATAAAATGGTAAAAGCAGGCCGATGCAGTAAAAACTCCCAAACTCAACCAGACAGAATCACCACCAAGGGCCAGACGATAAAAGCAATAGCGAAATGGACAGATCTAAGTGGTCAGCATTTCTATGCATGGAGGCAGAGAAGGGGGACTATTCCCATTTTACAGAGGAGCCAAACAAGACTAGGGGAGGCTGAGTACCATGGTTCCAGGGGGCGGGCCACAGTCTCAGCTCCAGGTGATAGATGAGGAAATGGTGGTTAACGCCTCCAGGCTAAAGAGCCCGTCAGGGCACAGCAAGACATTGAACTCAGGTTTATGGAACTCAAGTCCACACTCCTTCCCCTGAATAAAGGCTCAAGCCTGGCTGCACCCTGAAGTCATCTGGGAGCTTTTAAGAAATACTGATGCCCAATTACATTTTCCCAAAGAAGACAAGCCAGTGATTAACAGATGTATGCAGGGGGGGGGGTAGAATGCTGAGCATCACTATCATTAGGGAAATGTAAATGTAAAGCATAGTGAGATATCCTCACTCCTGTCAGTGAGGCTGTTTTATAAATATATACACACCCCAGAGGACAACCAGTGTTGGCAAGGATGCGGAGACATTGGAACTCCTGCACACTGCTGGTGGGAATGCACAATGGTGCAGCCACTGTGGAGAAGGGAGTGGGGGTTCCTCAAACCACCACAGGAGCCAGCAATGCCACTTCTGGGGATTTATCCAAAAGAATTGAAACCAGGACCTGGAAGAGATATTTGCACTCCCATGGGCAATGCAGCATTATTCAGAATGGCCAAGAGGTGGAAACTCTGATATCCATGGACAGAGAAATGGATAAAGAAGTTGTATGTTTTGTACACACAATGGTGTACTACTCAGCCTTAAAAAAGAAGGAGATTCTGCAGTATGGGACAACATGGATGAACCTGGAGGACGTCGTGCTAAGGGAAATAAGCCATTGATGGAAAGACGAATACTGCATGATTTCATTTCCATGAGCATCCAAAATAGTCAAGTTCATAGACTCAAAGGGTGGAGGGGTGAGGAAATGGGGAGTTCCTAATGCGTGGACATAAAGACTCAGGTAGGCAGCATGAATACACTGTAAGAGGTCTGCTGGGCAGCACTGTGCTATAGTCAGCGGTGCTGCATTGTACACTCAAACAGTTGTTGAGGGCATATCTCATGGTAAGTGTTTGAAACACAATGAAATTTTTTTTTAAAGGAAAGAATGAAGATAAACTCTGAGTGCTGCAGTGGCAACACTCAGCTCTAACCCGGTCGGTCTGGGGTGGGGCCCAGGCAGAAAGGGTGCCCGAGGTGCAACTTCCCATGTGTGCGGTCATGCCCTGCTCCTAGTCAACAGTGTGCCTGTGCACTGAGCACTCTGAGTCCTCACACCTGGCTTTAGGGACTAAGCATGTATGAAGATGTTTCAGGAATTGTTATTCTTACATGAGACCTGAGGAGCCTGAGAGGTTAAGTCTCTTCCTGGGCCAACCCAGCTGGTGGTCAGCAGCACCTGGGTTCCTGCCCAGGTGGGGTGACTCCAAGCCAGGCTTTAATTGCTGTGCCACCTGCTTTCCCTTGGGGCTCCTGTGGGACACAGACACGTTGGTCATGTGCCTTTCCATTTCACTTCTGTGTCCCTCCAACTTGAGGGTTGCCAGCATCATGTTTGTCCCAGGCTTGTCCACACTGAACAGTCATCATCCAGATGGAGAAGAGGGGGTGGTGTGCAGCTCAGCATTCGAGAAGAACCTTCTGCCAGTGAGAGGGGTTTGGCGGAGAGACAGGTGGCCTGGGAAGGCAGTGGGCCTGGCTGACATGCTGGGTAATGACCTGTGGGGTCTATGGGGAGGAGAAAGGTGGGCCTTTAAGGGATTATCTGTGTGTGCATGTGCACATGTACATGTGGGTGCTAGTGCATGTACAGCAGGGCATGAGAGGTTGTGCTTAGATACTCCTCATATGTCCCCACGGCTCTGAAATTGAGTGGCTCAGGGGCTCCCATGAAAGCTCAGTGAGTGAGAGATGGTTCTAGAAATGAGCTCACAGAACTAGGAAGTTCCAGAAGGTGCTACATCAGTTTAGAACCTGCCCTCCCCCATCATTCTTAAGGCTGTTGCTTGGGACCCTGGCAGAACCACAGTCAGCAGCCTGAGCTGACAGAGTTTTGGCACTGTCACTGCTGTGTCAGCTTTGGTGGGAACGACACCTGGTCAGTGAGCCTCTATCCCCTCTTCCTGCAGCTGGTGACAAGGTCCCTGGGTGGGTCTGGACAGTGAGGGTCAGGGAAAAAGGAAGGTGGTGGTCAGAGATGCGGGGCATCCTGGGCTGGGAGAGGGATGGGTTCAGAGAGAGCAGCCATGCTGGCAGGGTCTGGTCTCTGAACCACCAACTTTACTCCTGGTGACTGTAGACCTGCTGTGGAATGCTCAGGATAAAGTTACGTTTAAGTCACTTTGCTACAAAAAAAGCAAAACCAGTCTCTGTATAGCAGTCAACTTCATTTCTTCATCTATGAATTGGGGATCATAACCATATCCCCTTTGGATTGTTGAGTGGATTAGATGAGATTAACCTAGAAAACATCCAGAAATGGCTTGGCACAGTGTCTGCCAGCTTTTCAGAACTCAAGTTCATTGTCCCCCCCTTCCTTCCCCGCACTTGATGGGAAGGGCACATACGTTGTGGTCACAACTTCATTATGTTTCTGATGAAGTAGCATTCATTGAACAGCCACTGCATACCAGCAAGTGTGCGCTATAGCCCCTCAGGAGATAAAGAGAAATAAGACAGCCATTGTTCTTCTCCAGTTTACCTGGTGCTGGGAAGACTGGCATATATCACAGTCCAGTGTGGCGTGGGGGCGGGGGGGTGGCGGGTAGAAGCACAGGGTGCTCTGGGGTGCTGGGAAGCAGTGGCCTGCCAGGAGAGTCTTGCTGGAGAACTCATCTCAGAGGACGGGACCCTGAAGTATGAGGAAGAGTTAGCCACACAAAGGAAAGGGGAGATGTCTGTGCTAGATGGCAGGGTCATCATGAGGTGAACAGATGACAGTACTGGAACTTAATGTGAACAGGGGAGGGGTCCGAAGGACTAAATCATGGTGGGTGGGGCTGTGGAGTGTGCTTTCCACAGGAGCAGAGATGCAGGGAGCCTTCAAATGGTGTCACAGGCTTTTTGCTCAAACATTTCATTCTGGTAAATGGGTGTAGAGTACTTTGAAAGAAGAGTTAGGACTGGGTAGAAGAAGACCATCCTTGTACCATGATGTGGTGTGAACTAATGGCGAGGCAGACTCTTGGAGGGAAAGTGGAATCCCCAGCACTTTGGGACTGATGGGTTGGGAGGGTGAAGAATGCAGCGAAGGAGAGAAAGAGTGAAGAACCACATGCCTGTTTCCGGTTTGGAAAAACACCATTGTGTGAAATCAAGAATCTTTTAACCAGGAAAGGGGAGACATAAGGAAGAGGAGATTTGGTGGGAACATGAGTTCTGGTTTGAATGTGCTTAGTTTGAGGAGACTGGCACCTCCAAGTGGAGATGCCCAGGAGGCAGGGGCATGAAGGGCTGCTTCTCAGAGGAAGGTGTCCTGTAAAGGCGCTGCCTGCAGGTTGGTGGGTGTCCTCCTGAGGTGGAAGAGAAGAGGGCTGGGCACAGAATGGCTTGGAAGGGCAGCAGCATGTAGGACCTGGGCAGGAGTGGATTCCACAAGGAGAATGAACAGCAATAGTCTGAGGGGAAGGCGAGAACCCAGGGGAGGGCAGCATCAGAAGCTGAGAGAGGCAAGAAGTCCAGCATGGAGGGGTGGTCCTCAGTGTGAGTGCTGCTGGGAGCTCCTGTCAGACAGAGCTGACAGGGGTCCATGGGACAGAGTGGAGCCATTCCTGGGCCATGGTGGCGGTGAAGCTGAATTTCACTGGGTTGAAAAACAAATGGGAGGTGAGGAGATGGTAATTTCCCCCCTAGAGGTCTAGATGAGAAGAGAGGGAGAGATACAGTTCAGGGTAGACAGAGACAAGTGTAAAGGGAAGTGTCCTGTCAGCTGGAAATGTAAGTCCGCCTATGCACACAGAGCAAGATGGAGCTGGTGGGGGGAGATGCTGAGGATGCTGAGAGAGGAGGTGGCCTGTGGAACAAGGCTCAGTGACAGGAAAGGGTGAAGCCCAGAGCTTGGAGCTAATATGGGCCTCACTGAAGGTAGAGATGCCTCCTCCCCACAGCAGAGGGTGCAGTGAGGGTGCCCGAGGCCCCTGAAGTGTCTGTAAGAGTGATGGGTGAAGGCAGAAAGGGAAGGGAGTCTCACAGGTGACCACCTTGCTTTCCCCAAAATGAGGCAGGAGGTGAGGTCTTTTGTGAGAATTGCAGGGAGGGTGGTTGGAGGACAGCAATGAGGGTGTTGAGTATCCTTTGAGAGACATGGGAGAGAGAAAGCTGACCAAAGACAAGCATTTCTGTGGGTGCAATTACTTCATAGCAGAAATAACAATGAACCTATTTTTAGTGCAAAGAGCCAAGATCTCTGTGTGCCTTTCTTTTTCATTCATTTGTTCAACACTATGGGGTTGATGTTATTAGTGTCCTCACTTTCTGGATGATGAAAATGAGGCTCAGGAGGTGTCCAAAGTCAGAGATGTCATAAATCATAGAGGTGGGCTTCAAACTCAGGTCTTATTGCAAAGCCACAACCATAACTTCCTTGCCACCCTTGGTGACTAGAAGCTCTAGTGGGTGGCAGTCACCCATTTGCACACATATCCATTCTTGAGGTTGTGTCACTGTTTTGCTTTTTGACCTTATGAAGGTGGAGGGTGAGTGTGCTGTGGTGGAGTTCACAAGAGACGTGGGAAGGTTAGGCAGAGGTGGTGGTCAGGGAGAGACTGGAAGGTGGCAGAGCTGGGGAATACTGGGGTGATGATGAATGCTGGGGTGATAAGGCCGTGGGAGGGGCTGGGTGAGTCAGAGTGGAGGTGGAGGTCATAACTAGATGCAAATGTCCTTCATGATATTGGGGACTTGCCTCCAGAGCCAGAGACGAGAGGCCTGGGGGGCAAACCACATGGGCTCAGTCTCAAGGCAGGAGGGGCTTTGCAAGGCCATAGTTTAGAAGGGGTGAGGGAGGTGACATTGCCCTTTCCCAGTTATGAGATCTTGGGGCTCAGGATTCAATCATGCCAGGCATGTAGTATGGAGCTCAAGGTTTGTTCATCTTCTCCCCCATGTCCCTGCCTCTTCCCTCAGCTTCTGGGCCAGAGTGCTATGAAGCAGGGTGGGAGGGAGAGCCGCTGGCCTCAGGGAACCCGCTCCTGGATCTTGGGGTGTGGCCGAGGCTCCATCAGGACTGCAGGGGGCTGAATGGCAGGGTTGGATCCTCCTCCCCTTTTGCAGGTGTTTCCCATCCTCCTAAGGGGTGGACTTCCCAAAAGGACGACCAGGACTGCTGAGCTGCCTGCCATCCCGAAGCCCAGCTGCGAGCCAGTGTGGTGGGGGCTCCACCTGGGCCACCTGCATGGAAGCCAGGCGGCAGCTGTGCCCACCTGGGGTCCTGTGGCTGGCCTTTGCCTCTCTGATAAGCTGTCTGCTCGCCACTGGCCAAGCCAAGGTCTACAGTCGCTGTGAGCTGGTCAGAGTGCTGCAGACTTTTGGCCTGGAGGGATACAGGGGCTACAGCCTGGCTGACTGTGAGTACCCCTCTTCCTGGTTGGCCCTGCCCCCTCCCATCACTTATTTCCCTTTCCTCCTGTCCCCCTGCCTCCCACTCAAGGGGTGTGGCCTCAGGAGCTTTCTGAGTCTCAGTTCTCATCTGTGAACAAGGGTGATGGGAGGTCACAGGCAGGGAACACCCAGCACTGATGGAATATATAGCAGCAGGCATCAGGCAGCCAAATCAGAATTGCCCTTCATTCCCTCAACAGCTAACGTCAGGATTCAAAGGAACAGAACAGTTTAGTCTCCCTAATCTGTATCTTGGCATGATGGTCAGGCATTCCCGTGGATGCTTAGGGCGAACTGAGTAACCCAGCACTACAGAACTGTCCAAGCAGTGTGGGGAGGCTGAGAGGTACAGCCACATGTGGACCCATTTTGCCCTCATTCTAGCCCCCCCCCCGCCCCCCCTGCAGGTCCCACCTGCATATTCCCGATCTTGCCTGGGGAGATTTAGTTGTCATTCATTCCAGACATTTTTTGGGGTTTCACTAAGTGCAGAATAGTGAGACAATGGGAGGATTACGGGGCCCAGGAGCAGGAGGCCCGAGGTCCAGGCTTGACTCTTGCTGTTTGGCAGCTGTCTGTAACCCTGAGTAAGTCAGTTTGTCCCTCGGGGCCTCAGTGGATTGGCCTATCAAATACAAGGGAGGGCATGTGCGCTGACCTCTCGAAGCAGGTGTTGAGGCTCAAAGGAGCTAACGGGTGGGACCTGCACTGCGAGCTGGTCTGGGTTGGCCTTGATCATGTGACCCACAGGCCTGTGTCTTCACCCTATGCAGGGATTTGTCTAGCTTATTTTGCAAGCGGATTCGACGCAGGTGCTTTGGACTATGAACCTGATGGAAGCACCAACTATGGCATCTTCCAGATTAATAGCCGGAAGTGGTGCAGAAATCTCAGTGAAAATGCCACCAATGGATGCCACATGTACTGCACCGGTAGGCTGGGCCTGAGCCAGGCCCCTGAACCAGCCTTTGCTTCTTTCCTGTTTTGTTTGCTCCTCTTGCCTTTATCTCTGAATGTGGATCCCCTGACATCCTGCCAATCCTACCAAGGAGAACGGGATGAGTCAAATGATGGAGGGTGCATCCTCCATGAATTAGATTTGGGGTCTCAGGTGGGAGGCTGTTCTGACACCTAAGTGAATAGAGTGGGAATTGCTTCTGATAAGAGACGAAAGTGATAAAGCAAGCGAGACCTGGGTTTCCAGAGGGGTCAGGAGACAGGGCTGGGCTTAGGATGGAAGGGAGAGGGGTGTGTCTGTGTGTCACAGAGAGAAAGAAACACACAGACAGATTCTTCATGAATGACCAGCTCTGACCCTGCTCCCTCAGCGTGTTTCTCTGCCTCACACCGCAGATTTACTAAATCCCAATCTCAAAGACACTGTTATCTGTGCCATGAAGATAAGTCAAGAGACCCAGGGTCTGAGCAGCTGGTGAGTAACTGGGCTGGAGCCCCCAAGGGGAGGTGGCCAGGGCTGGGGGACAGCAGAGGGAACTCACCTTTTCTGAGTGCCCGCTCTATCCCAGGCACCACTCCATGCTTCACAGTCTCATCCACACTCTTTCCAGTGGCAGGAATTTCTACCCCTGAAGAGTTTACAGACAACACCCGGAGTTTCAGGAAGGATAAGCCCCTCACTGGGGGTTGTGGTGCCAGGCCGGGCTCTCCCAGGCTTTGGCTCTGTGGAGTGTCTGCCTCCAGGCCCACTCGATCTGCATCTAGCAAACCCTTTTTGTTTGGTTGATCTGTGGCATCTTTTGTCTAGCTAACTTTTATGTAAAGCCATGGTGCACAATAGATGAAGTACTAAATCGCCTACTGGAAGCAGGGTGGGCTCTCCAGAGCCTCACCCTGTCAGCCTTCACCTTTCCTGCACCTTTCCTACATGATGGGCAGCCCTCCTCCCTGGCAGCACACTGGGATACACACCAATAAGGCACTAGACTAGACCTCTGGTTCACAGACGGTCCTCCAGGCGGTGGCCCCATAGCCCCCCAGGCTCTTCTGGTGGGAGTTGCATTTAGAGTCTGCAGCCTCTTTTATTCTCATCTCTGAAAGCGAGACCACCAAGGGCAGCATGTGGGGATGGTAAGGCACTCCAGGTGGCTGGTGCCACCAGATCCACGGACAGATGGGACAGTGACAAAGCTGGTGAAGTGTCCAGAAGGCAGGAGATGTCCTGGGAGGGACTAGAGGCAGGGAGACCAGTGGAGGAGCCTTTGCAGGAGCCTAGGTGAGCACTGAGGGGTCGGGACGAGGACAGTTCCCCAGGGCATGGACAGCAGAAGGGCTGGGAATGAGGGGCTGTGGGGAGGCCTAGGGACAGGGGCTCCGTGCTCAGGGAGGGAGAGGAGGAGGTGAACATGGCTGTGAACACAGAGAAGGCCTGAGATGGGCCTCCACAGTGGCCACAGCTTTGGAGACATGAGGGTTGAGAGCAGTTGAAGCCCTAGGAGCTGGATGTGGAGCAAGGCAGGCGAGGCAGGACGTGGCCCATGTGTATCAGGTCAGGAAGCATGAACCTGTCTCAACAGGAATGCAAGGGCTTGAGGCCTTGAGGATGCCACCCTGGGATGGATGACACTGGGCCTTTTGGATAAATCTAAGAACAACTCTCATTTGCACACTGTAGTGTACTCATATCACGGATGCCCCCTCCGAGGTGTCCAAGGCTGATAGGAAGTGGTCCCAGAAGGTGGGAACTGTGCAGCTTACCCCCCCCCCCACGTGCACACAGGGAGGACTGCTCTGTGCTGGGTGCTGGGCTTTGGAGATGGCTGAGACCCAAGAGCTTGTCCACAAGGGGCTCATAGTCTAAAGGAAGAGACAGGAACCCAGTAGACCACACTGGTTTGACATGGCAATAGTGGTCCCTTAGGGACACTCCTGGTCATTGGGCCCTTTGACATTGCTATGAGGGATAGCATTAGTTATCAAATTTGGAACCCCTGGAAACTGAGACCAAGGGGCCCCACAACCCCAGGATCTTGCTCATCTTCCTCATGATGCCAGCATGATGCTGGAACAAGTTACAGCCCTGAGTCTGTAAATGATAGTCACCGACAGTTGAAAGACCCAGGAGGACTGGGTGTGGGTTCAGCTCTGTTGTTCACTAGCTGTCACCCTTGGGCAAGTAAATTTGTATCTCAGTCTCAGTTTTTCATGTGGAACACAGGGAACATAGTATCTGCCCCATCTACCTTCCAGGGCAGTGGGAGTGGAGTGGGGACAAGTGAATGGGGGATGGATATGCCAGAGCGATGTGTAGTGTAAAGGGGGCATGATGTCCGCAGAGGCAGCGTGATGTAGGAAAAGGGCATGCGACTGGGCCCCAGGACTCGAGGCCTTTGCATTGACCCCTGCGTGAACTGGAGCACGTTACTCTGTCACCCCACTGGGGAAATAGGGAGGCTATATAGATGACTATTGTTAAGGGGTATTCTGTTCCTTTCTAACTTCTTCTAGGTGGTTCTGTGCTACATGATACAGTTTCCCTCTCTCCCTTTTCCTTGCTAACCCCTTTGCTCTCCTCACTTCTGGTTTAGAGCACCAGCCTCCTTCTTGCTCTTGTCTGAGCAGGGACTGAAGGCTGCAGCTGACTGGCCTCTCCTCTCCCTACTCTGCATCCTCAGGGAGGCCTGGAGGCACCACTGCCAGGGCCAGGACCTCAGCGACTGGGTGGATGGCTGTGACTTCTAGGTCCTGTCTGGATGGACCAGGCCAGGCCCTGCAGGTGGGGAGATGTGGTTTGGGTCCTGCCCCAGGCAGGAAGACAAGCCAACTAATAAAGAATTGTTTAACTTAAGTGTGTTTCTCCGCTATTACTGTGTTTTCAGGTGGCTTGTTGAAGCCAGAGCCTCTCAGGGTTTCCACACTTGTCCACCTGGTAGGGCCTCAGGTGGGCTCCAAAATGCCTACCATGGAAGGCGGGCCTCTATTCCTGGGGGCAGGAGCAGGGGCGGGGTTCATGACTCCCTTGAGCACACCTGGCAGAGTTTCCTAGATTCTTTACCTGAATGTAGCTTTGCCAGGTGTAACAAAACAAGCAAACAACAAAAAATAAACAATGATAACAAACACAGGATGCCTGAGTTATATTTAAATTTTGCATACACAACAAATAAATTTTACTCTATGTCCCATATTTACATTTAAAAATGATTTGTTGTGTACCTGAAATCCACCTTTAGCTGGGTGTGCCACATTTTATGTGGCAATCTTCCTGAGTTTGGTGTTTGCACCTCTGGCTTGTTTGAGAGGGCTCTTACTTTCTGTGACTCTGGTCCCTGAAGGTGGCCACAGTGCCTTGTCCCTTTGGCTGGTGACTGCTCACACACTGCCAGCTGTCAAGGTTTGACAGGTGCTGCATGGTGACTGGGTACAACCACCGGGGACTTTGATAGAACTCTCACCCTGCTGTCCCATGTCATCTAGCAGCAGGACATTCAGGTGCCACTGATAGTGATGGTGGCTGTCACATCCCTGGGTAAGGAAGCCACCATTTGCCCTGCTGCCCACTGCTCAGAGGCTGGAGTGTGGGGTGCAGGGCACGGGAGGCTCCCAGGCAGCCAGTGGGCATTCTCCACCTGCCTCAGTGTGTGGGAAATTCAGAAGCAGCAGCACTGGCTCCCACTGACCTGGAGCTCAGCACCCCAGGTCCCTTGGGAGGGACTGAGTGTGAAGAGGAAGGGGGGCAGAGGCCCAGGATCACTGTGGGTGTGGTGGTAAGAGCAGCTGGGAGATGGTGTTTAAGAGGCTGAGCCCTGAGTTTATTGTAGATCCTTCTGGAAAGGCCTCAGAGAACCCTGCAAGTACTGAACTGCTGACTGTGGTATGGCTGGTGACACCCGGGGAGAAGAGGGGCTATGAGGCTGACCACCCCTCCCTGTTCACCTGCCAGCCCCAAATGCCCCTGGTCACACCAGAGGGGTGGCAGAGTGCCCACAGTTGGTGAGGCAGGCTGGTTTCCTTCCACTGCTGGTCAGTGTCAGGCCACTTCCATCCCCACTGTGTCCCTCACCAGCTTTTGGTCCTACAGCCCAGTGGAGCTCTTGCCTTGAAGTCAAGGTGATGAGACAACTTGAGGGCTGCTCCCACAATGGGCAGTGATGAGGGACCAGCTTCTTTCTGCTGTTGGGGGTTGGAGGGGGGCCAACTGCTAATGGATTCATTCTCATCAAGTCATAGGTAGGGAGATGCTCACCTCTCTTTAATAATAAAGCAAACATGTGTGCCTACCATGTGCTGTGCCTTATCTAATTTAGACCCTAGAACAATAACTGTGGTGGAGATACCATTGTTATCCCCATCCTACAGGTGAGGAAACAGGCTCAGAGGAGATGTTTGCACCCAGGTCAGAATAATCCTATGTGTGCTCTTAGTCATTGAGAGGTGGCTGTTTGGGTCACCTGCCGTCTTCTCTCTCACCTGGGCAGAGTCTCTTGACCCACTATCTCTGTATAATTCATACCCTCTACTTCAACTTCACGTTGGACTTCTGTTGCCTGTGACAACCTGATGGCTCCACTGAGTGTCATTTGCCCAGGAGCAGGCAGAATGAGGTCTCTGGAATCACAGGGAGAGTTGCCAAAAGGACTTGGAGGCTTTGGGCTGCCATGATATCCTCAGAGCCCCTCTAGTGGTACTGGGCAGGGGTCAGGCCTGGACCAGATGTCCTGGGGACCTAGGCTGGGTGGTGGACCAGGAGCAGGTGGGGATGGAAGCCGTGTATCCAGGGAGTGTGCCCTGAATGCTGGGGTGAGCTGAGTGTGCTCTAAGGTGGGTTGAGCTGGATATTGTCTGTTGTCCCTGGTGTTGGGCTTCATTAATTTGGATGTAATTCCATTTGAAAGGAAGCCATGACATCTGAATTACACTAAAGACAAATGGTCTGTAATTGTGATGTTAGCCAAATGAACCACTTCCTTAGAGTCACGGTGTGGAGAACAGCTTCAAGGAGGCTAGACGTCCAAATTTTCCATTCCAAGGTCATTATCAGGAGATGTTTTTGTGTATAAACCAAAGGCATCATTGCAGTTCTGGTCAGAAATGAGTGAGATGTCAACAATGGTTCACAGCCTAGGGCTCAGCAGCAGTCAGAGGACTTCCTGCGTGCATTTCCTGGTGCTGTGGGCTCAGTGGTGTCTCATTCCTTAGGAACCAGGTCACAGGGATGTTTGCAAAGTGAGGCTGCACTTGCTTTCTCTGCTGGTCTCCTCAGGCCTCCAACTCACCACGTACATGAGATAATTTTATGAAATCACAGCTTCACGGTTCTCTGTTCATGTCCATTTTCTGCTCTTTTATTCATTTTGCTGTGTGAGAACTCACTAATGCACACACTGGAGCAGGTTCCAATGGTTTAAAAAACTATGTCAGAAAAAACTTGAAATTTGTCAAATCCTGCCTGTCCTTTCCCTCCCTCCTGTAAGTGGGAATATGGCAGAGTCACTACATCATACTAGGAGAAGCAACCTGGCTGCTCCTGTGGTGCTGTGGCAGGTTCTCCTGGAGGAGAGTTAACACTCTCGGCGCCAGGGCAGCTCCCCCAGCATCTGTGCACCACTTGGGGCCCACAGACAGGCTCTGGGGCTCCACAACCCTCTTCAAATTGTGTGCAATTTTATGTCTATGTATGTGACCATGTGCATTGTATTTCCTTTGGAGAAAGTTCATAGTTATCACTGTATTTTTTATTCAAACAAGATCAAGAATCAATGTTTTACAGGAAGAAATATGAAAAGATAGAAAGTACACACCTTAACTCATTTGATGTCATAATAACTCTGAGAACTAGACATTTTCATATGGGTAACAGAGATTTTAAGCAGCCAATTAAATATTTGCTCAGATACCTGACACCCTTCTCAACTTAGACTCATAGACTATTAATGCTGGGATGCACCAAAGAGATTTTCTGTCCATTTCCCACCCCCTTGCCTTTTATGGGGGGTTGGGGGGGGGGGACTTAGGCCCAGAGAAATGGACTAAATTATCCAAAGTTATATGGTCAATTTCCCACTGAAATGGATTAGAAATACAGTTTTTTTACTCTCTGTCCAAAGCCTTTGCCATCCCATTGTTCCTGTAAAGCCTGTGAGTATAACTTCAATTCATCTTTCCTAGACGTCTGTTTACCTGTCAGTATTCTCTGCTCAGGAGATCAATTCCTTGAGGGCAGGTGCCCAGCACATAATAGGCAGGTGATCAATAGGAGTGGAATGAACGGTGAACCTGTGTTCTTCCTGTGTCTCCCCTTCCTTCATGGCCCTGCTGCCTTCCCAGATATGCCCAGAAGCTTGATCTGTGCAGTTTCAGGTCTTCCTGGCTACGCCTGGATCTAGGCTAGTGGCATGCCCCTGTAGAAGCAAATCCCTGGCCTCTTGAGCCTCCCTTGCTTCCCTGTAACAGGGGAGCATGTTCATGGGCACTTTCTGGAGGCCCTTACATCTGCCCTGATATCAGTTCCCACAATCAAAACAAAATTTCTGAGGTGAGTCCCAATAAGATAAACCCAAAGAGGCCTACACCAGGACACAGCCTAATTAAAATGGTAAAGGTTAGTGCTGGCCAGGTGCCTCAGTTGGTTGGAGCACCATCTCATACACCAAACTGCAGGTTCAATCCAGGGCACATGCCTAGACTGCAGGTTTTATCCCCAGTTGGGGTGCGTAAGGGAGGCAACCAATTGGCAACCAGTCAACATTTCTCTCTCACATCTATGTTCCTCTCTCTTGTCCCATCCCCCACCTCTAAAATCAATAAACATATCCTCAGGTGAGGATTTTTTTTAGGTGGTAAAGGTTAAAGACAGAGATAATGTTAAAAGCAGCAACAGAAAGACACTTAGTTACCTACGAGAAACTCTGAGCTGATTTCTCAACACAAACATTTAGGCCAACAGGGATTGGCCTGAAATATTCAAAGTGATGAAAATCAAGGACCTACAACCAAGACTGCTTTACCCAGCAAAGCTATCATTTAAAACTAAAGGAGAAATAAAGAGTGTCAGAGAAGCAAAAGCTAAAAAATGTTTATTATCCCCAAACAGTATTTTGAGAAATGTTAAAGGGTCTTTAAGAAGAACAATAAAAAGCAGGGGAACATAGTTATAAAGAATCAAATGGCAATAAATGAGTACCTATCAATAATCAGTTTAAATGTAAATGGCTTAAACGCTCCAATCAGAAGACACAGGGTAGCTGAATGGAAAAGAAAACAGGACCCATAAATATGCTGCCTCCAAGAGACCCACCTCGGAGTGAAAGATACATACCAACTAAAAGTAAATAGATGGAAAAAGATTTTTCATGCAAATGGAAATGAAAAAAAAAAAAGATGGGACAGTAATACTTATATCAAACTAAATAGACTTTAAAACAAAGGCTATACTAAGAGAAAAAGAACATTACATAATGATAAAAGGAACAATCCAACAAGAAGAAATAGCCCTATGGACATTTATTCACCCAACATAAGGTCACCTAAATAGATCAAGCAAATGTTCATGGACATACAGGGAGAGACGGACAGCAATACAGTCATCGTTGGTGATTTTAACACCTGATCCGCATCAATATGTATAGACCTTCCAGACAGAAAACCAACAAGAAAATGGAGGCCTTAAATGACACACTAGATCAGCTGGATTTGATACCTTTAGAGCATTTCAGCCCCAATCAGCAAAATATACATTCTTT